TTGTCGGTAACAATCATCTTCGGGGCACCAAACCGGGTGATAATGTTTTTCCAAACAAATTTCTCACACTGCCGCACGGTTATGGTAGCCATTGCCTCGGCCTCGACCCATTTAGTGAAGTAATCAATAGCCACCATCACGAACTTCTTCCCGCCTTGGGCGACCGGGAAGGCTCCAATAATGTCAATCCCAAACCGGGAAAATGGTATGACATTAGACGTTGGTTGGTAGTATGTGGCCGGTCTGCCGGGATGTTTGTAAAATACCTGGCACGTCCTACATCTCTGGACATACCGCTCACAATCCCTCACAATGGTCGGCCAGTAGTAGCCAAGCAATATTATCCTTTGAGCCAGGGTGCGAGACATTTGATGGGCCGCACAAACTCCCTCATGCACCTCAGCTATTACCCGTTCAGCCTCTGGGTTGGTAAGGCAACGTAAGAGAGGTCCACCGATGGCACGTTTTACAAGTGACCATCGATTACCTGAAAACGGGGAGCCCGCAGGACCACCTTCCTGGCCCGTTCCTCGTCATCCGGTTTCTGACCGGTCTCCAAATATTCCATGAGATCGTACCTCCAGTCATCATCTGCTCCGATTGTCCCGGTATCCGAATTCTGGCCCGGTTGGATAGCCGCGATTTCAAACCGGTCTGTACTCGGCACGTCCATGATCTCAATTTTCGCCAACTTCGACACATGCTCCGGGCAGGCTTGTGTCAATTTTGAAAGCATATCTGCATCAGCGTTTTCCGACCGGGGTATCCTAGTCAGACGAAACTCTTCTAATTCCCTTAGAAGCGCTCGGACCAGATCACTATACCGGGCTAGCCGATCCTCTTTTACTTCCATCTCACCATTGACCTGTCCAACCACTAGACTCGAATCGGAACGGATCTTCATCCTTTTTATTCCGAGTGTCTGGGCTAATCTGAGGCCACCGGCCAACGCCTCATACTCCGCCTCATTGTTGGTGAGTTTGAAGTTGAAGATCAAGGCATGGTAGATCTTGAATCCTTCCGGGGTAGTGAAGACTACGCCGGCCCCGCATCCCTTCGGTCCAGAGGCTCCATCAACGGCCATGTCCCACCACGGTTCGACCGTATGGGAGGGCCCGGCTTCGGGCTCTAGACCGGTCAGTTCAACGAGGAAGTCTGCCAAAGCTTGACCCTTAATTGCAGTCCTTGGTTTATATTCTATTTTGAACTGGGTGAGCATCATCGCCCACTTGATCAACCTTCCCGAGGAGGTTGAATTTCGAAGGACCGGTCCAAGTGGCTGATCGGTCAGTACTTCCACGGTGTGAGCTTGGAAGTATGCGGTCAGTTTTTTGGCCGTGATGAAAAGCGCGTATGCCGTTTTCTCAATGGCAGTGTACCGGCTTTCAGCCCCATTTAATGCTTTGCTCACATAGTAAATAGGCCTCTGGCCATCTTCATTTCTTATCAAAACAGAGCTTACAGCGTTTTGGGAAATGCCTAGGTACAAATACAAAGTCTCACCCGGTTTGGGTTTTGACAAAACAATATCAGAGACTAAGTACTCCTTCAGCTGCTGGAAAGCTTCCTCACACTCCCGGTCCCACTCGAATGTGTTGGCCTTCTTTAACACCTTGAAGAAAGGCAGAGCCC